TATGAGGCTCTCTGCAGCCACTGTAGCAGGGGTTCAATCCCCAGCCAGGGAGGTGACCACATGGTATGGCAGACCTCTCCTGTCTTACCTGCTGCTCCCCCTTAGCAGTGTATTTTGGTAGATCTGCCTGTTCTGCTCTCCACTCTGTCTCTGGTGAATCCTCTCACCACCCCTATGCCCATCTGGCCTGTACCCTAATTCTTGTATGCAAAAATAAATAAATCTATAAAAAAAATAAAAGTAATGGGGACACTCAAACTTATCAAAATTTATGAACATCCTATCTCTCTGAAGACTTGGAATCCAATATTGCTGAGGCAAACTTTGAGAATAGAAGACATATCCCAAATTGCGGAGTGAGGAGACAGACTTTTGTCAGTAAAAGCTTGGGCTTTTGAACATGGAAATAACCCAAATGCCCAAAAGTGTATGACTGGATTAAAAAGATGTGGCACATATACACAATAGAATATTACTCAGCAACCAAAAAACATAAACACATGCCTTTTGCAGCAACATGGATGGAGCTGGAAAAGATATGCTTAGTGAAATAAGCCAGAAAGAAAAGGAAAAATACTGGATGGTTTCACTCATAGCAGGAGTATAACAGACCAGGCGAGAAAATAATAACAATGAACAGCTATATACCAGAGACATTTTATGGGGGTGGAGTAGGGAGTAGGATCAAAATACAGTGGGAAGAGGGAAATTCACGGGACTGTGGTGATGGCACACAGGTCATTTGATGATGGAAAGCCCACTGGGATTACAACTGAGATGGAAAAATGTACAAAAATTATGTAAAAATAAACTATTATATTATTTTTAAAAAATGCTTGGGCTTTTAAATCTGACTTGTTTTGAATCCTGGTCCTAGCCCTTATTGCTTTGTGATTTTAGGGAAGTTACTCAACCTCTCTAGGCCTCATCTACAGAATGAGTAAACTGTGCCACCTCAGGTTATGTGACCTAGAGATATAACACTCCAGAACCATTGAGCATGATGTCTGGGTGCCTGGTTGTCATTACTTGTCTATGGAGAGGTTTGAAGGCAAAAGGGTAAGCTCAGCTGCTGACAGGGTGAGGGAGGGGGGTAGGAAAAGTACATTAACTCATCACCTTCAACTTTACATTACAAAAGAAATAAGTTGAGTTCCAGGGAGGGTCTGTGATCTGGCACTGATACTATTTATGTCTCTAAGGTCTCTAAGACCTTTTTTTTTTAAAGAGTAATGGGAGTTTTCTTTTTCTTTCTATTCTTTTTAAGATTTATTTATTTATGCATATAGAACTGGGGTACAGGCCAGAGGTGCAGGGGCGGTGAGAGAATTTACTAGAGACAGAACAGGCTGACTGAAGAAGTACACTGCTGAAGGGAGCAGCGGGCAGGTCAGGCGAGGTCTGCCACCATGCGGATCACCTCCGGGGCTGGCATAGAACTCATGTTGAAGTGGCTTTAGCTTCTTAGTGCTGTGACTTAACCTGCTGCGCCACCAGGGAGGGTCGGTTCTTAACTCTTATCCTCAAATTATTTTATTGGAATCATTTGAGATGGAAATCTGTATTTCATAGAGGTCACACTTGAAATCAAGTGTCACTTGTATGATGATTAATTACCTTGACTTAAAATATTGTAAAACTGTACCAAGTACCATTTGGTGAAGAATTGGTCATGGTGGTTTCAAACCAGATTATTTACCAAAGGTTCTGGAACTAACAATTTAAACTACTATTTCTATTAGTTTTTGCTTCAGTTATCCAGTGAATTTTCTCTATGCCACAATAGGCTTAGCCCTGTGATTTTTGTGATGTTGTCTAACTCAATAAAACACAAGAAATTAATTAATATATATTTTAGAACTGTGCCTGGATCATGCTAAGTGTTCAATAAGTGTTAGTCGTTAGTGTTATTATTGATCAGAGCAGGAGGAACATCTGTGTTGCTTTCTCAGACAAAACCCTAGCTCATGGGGTCAGTGACCATTTGATTAGCAAAGATAGCTGGAGATAGTCATTAAGATAGAGGAAAAGAAAGATCCCAGCTGAGATTCTGTAGCACACAGTGCACTTACAACCCCTCTGTTGTTTTCCTGCAAACAGAATGTAAAATCAGATGTGATTTGCCTTTTGACAGTTTAAATTGTTGCTTGCATTTGCAAAAACACTGGAATGACTGTTCAGTTAGGGGGTTGTTTATTCTCTTACACATAAACCCAGAAACATAAAAAAAAATACCTCTACCTGTCTTTTAAGTTGTTGTAAATGATTTGTGCATGTTTTAGTTTGTAAGGAAAGATATAGTTGTCATGAATATGAAGAATTATAACTACAAAGGAATTCTGAGTTGTGCTAGGTAGTGTTTAATTGTATGTGAAAATGAATGAGTAAGTAATTCTCTAGCATGGTGAAAAGGAGAGATGGTTTCTTCCTGGAATAAGGCATCTGTTAAATGCAAAAGAAAATGCCTCTGGACTCTGGAGCTAGAAACCCACGATGCCAGCATTTTGCAATAACTTCCCCTTTCATCTGTAGATCTCATAATACTTTATGGGCACTAATTAAGTTTCACCATACTCATACAACTCACACTGAGTTTTATTTATTCCCTTTCTTGCTGAGGAAAACCAGAGCAGGGAATATTTGACATTATAAGTCTGGGACTTTAAACTAGTATCCAAAGCCTCTCGTGCAGAGAGGGAGCCGGCCCACATGGGGGACTTGACAGTTGATTCTTAGTTGTTTTGTGGAGCAGGACGTGAGCCCCAGCAACTGAGAAATGGAGTAAGAAGTTAAGAAAAGTCTATAGGACCAGTATTGTGGACCAGAGATCTGGCTGTGCAGTGCAGGTACATATGCCCCAATTCCCTCACCACCAGATCTCTTCTGTCTTAGCCTGCCTTGGACCTGAAGGCACACATTGGAATTGTAATTCACAACAACCCTCTAGGTCCTGAGAGGTTAATGCGCCCCTTTAGTGGAGTATGTGTGTCTAGAAGACCTGCCATTGGGGAGAGAAGGGAGTATTAGTGGGTTCAAAGGCCAGAGAGATACCAACCAAAAGGGTAGGAGGAAGAAAGTCAAGGGGCAACACGCAATGTTACTCCTTCTGATTTATCATCTTGGCTTTTTTTTGAAAAGGAACTAAAATACTAAACACAGGCTGGGTCTGAAATGAGTCTTAGATGGCGAATTATTATAGTATACCTAAGTCATATCCTGGCCCAGGCTTCCCCAGGACCCCAAATCAATATGCTTGGACCTATTAGAACTCTGGAATTAGAATCTCCCTGGTGGCCTAGGGGTTAAGTCTCTGCACTGTCACTACTATGGCTGGAGTTTGATCCTTTGCCAGGGAGCTGACCCACATGGCACAGATACAGCAGTGTATCTCAGTAGATCTGTTTGTTCAGCTCTCCATTCTCTCTCTGGTGACTCCTCTCATCCCCACCCTCCCCTGCCGCATCCCGGTTTCTGGCCTAAATCCCAGTTTCTCTACACACACACACACACACACACACACACACACACACACACACATACACACACACACACACACACACACACATACACAGAACCCTGGAATTGGGATGGAAATAAATCACTATTTTATTATAAAATATATAAAATTTAAAAATATTAAATATGAGTATATTCACTTAAGTGGAACTAGAATCATAAGGTAGCAATGACCAAGAAGCCTTAAGGAAAGCAGGTACAAATTCTGGGTATTAAGTAGCTGTCTCAGGGACTAGACTAAAAAGGGACCATATATTCTAAAATTGATTCAAACATAGAAAAATAGCAAAATCACTCACTTCTGCAGAGTTACATACCAAATTTCAGGGGAATTTATTAGCATGTGTGAATTTGAAAAAGAAAAACTATCATGCATTTACAAGGCTGATTTATAAGTAGGAAGCAGAAACAAAACAATTCTGATTGCAGTCAGTTTTTATTCCAAATTGCATCCGTTCATTAAAAGCATATGGTGCAAAGAACCTACTCAATAACTTTAATAGAAAATATAATGCAGAAATATATAAACATATTGCTCATTAAAAAAATAAGATTTGTACCAATAACAGGTATTATGACTATATATACTTGGAAGTTTGTAAACAAAATTGTGCTTATAATCTTTAAACCAACATTTTGGAAAGTCTTAACATAATATTTCCTTCACTAAAAAATATAGAGCAAAAGTGGTCTATCACCTACACCTCAGTGTAGCTTCAATAGAATGGTAACAGATGGTCATGATTTGGGGGTATTGAAATTTTCCCCAAATATCTTTTAGGTTCTCCAAGAAAGAGACAGTGATATTTGACACCACTTTTTAAAAAAAAGTTATTACAATTATAGTGATGAGTTATTTTATGACCCTTTTGGTTTTGAAAACTGGGAGATCACATATGGTATAAAATCTATTTCTGTTAATTGAAACATGAAAGTGACCAGAAAAATCCATTCTCTAAACTTGCAACTCTAAGATAATTTCTGAAAAAGAGAAGGGGGCAAGAGCAAAGCATTTCCTCTTCTTATAAACCTTGAACTGAGTATGTTCCTCACTAATTATATAAGGTCCCGTGGGCCCCCAGAACTTTCCACAAGCATTTAGGTCTCTATGGCGATGTACCGTCTGCTGAAATGGAACGCGGGTGGTGAGCACAGGCACTGGGCGACCACAGGGGAAGCTCAGGCTGCAGAAAACCACTTTGAGTCTTCCTGAACGTTTAGGACTGACTGCTTGCCCTGGCCAGAATCTGCAGAACCAGCCACGGAGATTGACGTGACTGTCTCAGTCCACGTCTCCAGGAAAGTAGGCGCTCCACACCACCAGGTGGCAGCTCTGGGGGTGCAGTCGCTTCTGAAGGCTGCCTGCGATGGCACCGGTGGCTTCCTCAGGGACCTCACTTCCGTTGATACTTAAGATGTACCCTTGTCGCCCTCAGAGGGTATGACTCAGGTGAAAGGAGTCCATTTGGCCACCCCTTGGTCTCATGCAGCCGTTCAGCATTCCGGTACAAATTACACTCCAGGGCAATCGGAGGCGCCAGGGAAGGTAAGTCACCACCGGAATCTCTTAGCCTACAATGGCCATCTGTCACAAGCAGAGACTGAAAAAGAGTGACCATAACAAACTTGAGATTGAGGTTGAGTCCGATCTTTCTCATCTGAGGGTGCCCCCTCCCCTGCTCTGCTTGCATCTAGGGGCTGTATTCTTCCTTGTTGGCTTGCTGCAAATTCTTGGAAGCCTGAGACCTTTTACCATTGATTACTCCAGCACTAAGACAAGGCCCAGCACACAGTTGGTCCTCAATATATAACTCTTGGTTGAATGAAAGCTTGCAAAAATGACCACTGGTATTCAGTCTCCTTGGTGAAGTATGTTGGGCCTTGGTTCAAATCCTAAATCCCTCATAACTACTTGTTTCACTATGGCAAGTCACGTCACGCCTCTGGGTCTCATTCTGTTCCCTGTGGCAGTAGTAATAATCTCTCCATGTTTTGGCATAATCTTTATGTACTACTCTCTATATTATCCCATTGTACATTTTAGCTATTGTTATTAACCACAATCTGCTCCTCAAAGGGAATGTGGTGTGTGTGTGTATGAGAGAGAGACAGTGAGAGGTAGTTGTTATCTTGAGAATCTCTTTTCTCCGCTGAGGAGTGAAAAGCAGAGGGGCTGAGACTTAAGTGAAGGCGCTCCTTCTGCCTGTCCCTAGGTTGGGGACTAAGTTGTATGAGCACCAAAAAAGTTCATGCAGTGACAAAAAAGTTCAGACACTCTCGTTCAGAAACGAGAGGTTGCAGACTTGCCAGTTAACTCATTCTATTTGGAAATCTGGGTGGTTTGTTAGTGACTCAAATAGAATTGAGATCTGAGAAAAATGGAAATATTAAAGATCATCGTTTAACCATTTGTGGTTCGACGGAAATACAAGAGGTGCAGACATAAGGTATCACTCAGGGGTGCGTGTGTGGAGGGGCTGGGGTTTAGGAACAAGGAAAAGATTAAAGAGAGGCAGAAATACTGTCTTGGACAAAAACTAATGCTTTTTGTGAAAAGACAATGTGAATCTCTGTATAGAAGATCAAATGACAAACATGCAAGGGAACGAGTGGTAATGCCCCATTCATAAGTCACTAGATGTAAAGGAATGGTTTTGTCCCCAATGCAATACAGTACCCTACTTTTATTTATGAAATGTACAGTTTGCCATATTTGGCAAACCATGTTGACTTAACCTCTTGTGCCATTTCAAAAGAAGTTGTTAAATAATTTTGTAATTAAAAACAGAAGAATGAAAATAACTAAATCTGGTGTGCAACAGATGTATATATATGTATATGTGTATACATATATGTATATGTATATATGTATATATATATATATATATATATATGCAGTGAGTGTCAGGTGAATTATCAAACTTCGATGAACCACAGCATCTACAGAACACTTGTTGCACAAGTTACAGTGTTGGAGGGAGAGGCTTCTGTAGGGATCACACCAAGCAAAGCATGTTCAAGCTCTTTGAAAACTGAGTTTGCCTTAGGTTAAATCAGAAGTGTCTGTTGCAATTTGTGGTAGTTGGTAGAAAAGTCAATTCTGACTTCAGGGGAGCAACAGAAGGGATGTGACTTGAATGAACAAATATCTCCAGGTAACATGCTGGATAGAGGGGAGATGTATTGCTGGCAAACGAAGGGAATGAAAATAATTTTCACCCATCTTACTGGCTTAAGAACAAAGACCATTCTTAGGTACTATGAGGTGTTTGGAGAAATGGGCTTGTAGATACCACAAAGTTAATTATAGAGCTGTTTATGGCTTCAGAAAACTAGAAGCAACCTTCTATTTAACAATAAGGAAATAGTTAAGGAAATTATAGCATATACAATTGATGGAGTATTCTGTAACCAATGAAAGAGTTACAAAGAACAATTAATATGTGGGGAAATATTTATTTTATGTGAAAGTAACAACACTAAAAAGCCTCAACTATATCCAATGTGATCTTATTGTATTTAAAACAATACAGAGGAGGAAAGTAACCCAGTGAGTGAATAGTACTTATCTTTAAGTGGTATAATTGTGGCCTATATTTGTTCTCTCTCTAGACTTTTCCATATTCTCCAAGTTTCAGAAAATGAGGATATAAAAAGTATATTACTTTCATGAATCCTTTGACATTTGTTGAAGGTTTCTTTATGGCTCATTTTGTAGTTAGATCTCATAAACTTCGATATATATTGCAGAAGAACATGTGTTCTATTGGGATCAGTAGTAGTCTATTCTTACCATTTAGATAAAGCTTATTTATATTTTGCTCACATTTCTTTCGTTATTGATTTGTACAATTGAGTTATTAATTACTGAGCGAGTATGTGATGATTTCTTATAATCTGATAGTAGGTTTTGCCTGTTTCTTCCAATAGTTTTGTCAATGAAGCAATGCTGTTAGGTACATATAAGTTAGCATTGTTATATCATCCAGGTGATTAAACTTTACCTTTTTTAAAAAGACTTATTTATGCATATAGAACTGGGGTACAGACTAGAGATGCAGGGGCAGTGAGAGGATTCACCAGAGACAGATTAGGGAGCAGAACAGGCAGACTGACAAAGTACACTGCTGAGGGGAGCAGCAGGTGAGACAGAAGAGGTCTGCCACATCATGTGAGTCACCTCCCTGGCTGGGGATTGAACTCACTGAAGCAGCCTGTTGCTAGCCTAGCTTCTGTAGTGCTGTGCTTTAACCCTTTGTGCCACCAGGGAGGCCCCCCTTTTTATTTCTAATGAAGTTTTTTAATCTTAACTTTCATAGCAGTTTTTTTTCATTAGAATTTGCATAACAAATGTCAACCTTTCTATTTATGCATGTTTTTGGTGTATCTTTTGTGAAAAAATATAAGTACAATATATGATTAACTCTAATTGGTCCTTCTTTACTTTTAACTGGGCCATTTTATCTATTTAATTTATTGTAATTACAGATGAACTTCAATTTTATTATATCATAGTTCTGAGCTCTTTTGTTTGTTTTGTCTCCTTTCATATGGATTGCTCTCTCTTTCTCTATGCTTAATATAAATACTTGATCTTTCTTTAAGTGAGGCTCAGTTGATGGCAAACTGTTTTGTGTGTGTCTGACATGTCTTTATTTCTTACTTATTCTCAAGAGTTTTTACTGTAGTTACTTTCAGCATGTAGACAATAACTTCTGTCATCTGTCTTCCATTCTTATTGAGAAGTAAGCTCTCAGTATAATTATCGTTACCTTGAAGTTAATCTGTCTCTTTCTCTTATTACTTTTGGAAAACTTTCTCCTTTTAAGTGACTGTACAATAACTCTGTGATGTATCTTTTTTTGATTTTTAAAAATATTTTCTGTACCCATTTCTTAAATCCCCTGTCCCTTTCTCTCTCCCTCCTTCCTCTAATCTCAGCATCCTCACCATGTTTATTGATGTCTGCTAGTTTAGTAAGCATCATACTTAAAGTTACCCCTCTATTATGTAAATAATCAGTGTTTGTTTTTGTCATTCTAACTTACTTCATTATGGTTCCCTCCAACTCTTTCCATTTTGCTGAAAATGCCTGTAATTCATCTTTTCTATGGCTGAAATAATATTCTGTAGTGTGACTATAGCTCAATTCTTAATCCAGTCATCTATGGAAGGACATTTAAGATGCTTCCATGTCCTGCTATTGGAAAATTTGCTGCAATACACATTGATATATATATTTGCACTGATGCTTTCATATGTTTTGTATAGACACCCAAATGTGGGACTGCTGTGTTGTATAGCACCTGCATTTTTAATTTCTGAGGTAAGTCCAAATCACTTTCCCTATTGGCTGTGCCACTTTATACTTCCACCAACGGTGCAATACAGTTCCTCTTTCTCTGCATACATTCCAGCTTTTGGGGAGTATTTTTAATACTGCCATCCTCATGGGTGTGAAATTGTATCACATTGTGGTTTTAACCAGCATCTTTTATTTGAAGTGAAGATGATAATTTTTTCCCCCTTATATATCATTTGGTCTTCCAGATGCCCTTGTTGGTGAATCCATATCTTCTGTAATTTATTAACTGGGTAGCTTATTTTTTCTATTATTGAACTCTAAGTTTTTATGTAAGTTGTACTTTAACATTTGTCAGTTATGTCTGAATATTTTTTATCTCGTTCAGTAGGATGCCTTTTTAAACTTCTTGTATTTCCTTTCATTGTAAATACTTTTAAATTTGAGGTAATTGTTTATTTTTGCTTTATTTCCCTTGCCATTTGGGCTGAGTCACTTAAAACATCTTTATCATTGAAGTAATAGAACATGTTGCCAGTGTCGTCTATATATTTTATACCTGCAGGTCTTACATATAGATCATTAATTTCACTTGTAATTTATTTTTGAGGATGGTGTTAGAGAGTGATCTGGTTTCATTCTTTTGTATCTGGTTTTCCAGCACCATTTATTAAAGATATTGTCTTTTCTCCTCTGCATGGTTATAACAACTTTATCATAGGTTAGGTACTGATATATTTCTGTATATGTGGGTTTATTTCTCAGCTCTTGATTCTGTTCTATTAATCCATGTGTCCATTTTTAGTACCATGGTTTTAGAGCAGAGTTTGGTGTCAGATGATACATTACTTCCACTTCTCTCCTTTTTTTCTGAGCATGGTTTTTGCTACATTAGACTTTTTGTATTGCTCCCTATAGTTTCCCAATATAGTTTGTTCAATTCCTTTGAAAAATATTGCCAGGACTTTGATGGGGATCACATGACATTTACATGTCATTTTACGCAGGGTAGTCATTTTGCTGATATTGATTCTCCCATCCATAAGCATAGGACAAGTTTCTATTCTATTATGTGATTGAGTCCTTATTGTAATGTTTGTAGTTCTAGTTGTATGGTCCCTTTACTTCCTTAGTTAGGTACATTCCAAGGTATTTCACTGTTTTTAAGCAATTATAGAGTTTTTTTAAATTTCTATTGCTTTCTGTTTGTTGTTTGCATATAAAGAAGTTACAGATGTTTGTAT